CCACATCAGATTTCTTCACCACCAGAGTGTTCAGATTCCCAGTGAACACACGGGAATTCATGGAGCGAGGATCTGTCTTGTTGGTAACATTGCTAGCCATTGTGTTTGATGATAAAGTTGCTTACAGTGACAAAAACCAGGAGAGGTGAGAGAAGAGATTCGATTCCGAATCCCCTGCTCCCAGGTTCTACGTGGAGTTGACTGCTGCTCGAGGTCAGCAACGCGGCAGCGACCGCTCAGTCTCCGTCTCTTCACAAAATGGCCCCATCCCTGTCTTATCACCCGGCAGCCTGCATACCCTACCTCCCTGGTATATACGGCACTTACCTGCGTGAGAATGCGCACCTAGACTGTAGAGACCTCTGCGGCTGCAGTGCCTCCTGTCAGCGCTCTGTTTAGTATTTCTGCTCTTGGGGACTACAGCCCCTGAGCTTCAAGGGGCTTCCTAAGTACCACTTTCCCCAGAGAGCCGTGGAGGCCGTGGTTCTCCTGGGGACTTTGCTGAGCTCATCTCCCCCACTTCCCAGATCCAGTACCAGTTCATCATCCTGACTCTTAAGAGCTCACACATGGTCTGAGCCAGAGAGCCCCCCGGTTCACAGCCATCGCTCTGAGCCAGGGAACCGTAGAGTGAAGTCACAGCTCAGCCACTTAGCTGTGTGACCATGGACAGCTCTGACCTCCCGGAGCAGCCATCTCCCCCGGACAACACAGGCTGGGCCAAAGTCCTGGTCTCAGGGTGTTGGATTAACTGAGAAGGCCAGCATCTTGAGAAGGATGCTCTTAGGTGCCCACAAGCAATGTGCCCTTCACTGTTGCCGCAACTCACCTCGTCGCTATCTCCCCTGCTAGCCCAAGTCCACCACCTACAGGAAGTATCTCTAGGCCTCTGAGGGGCAGCACAGAGCTGGGAGCTGGAGGAGAACCAGAGGTCCCTGTGGAGGACAGATTGGCTGCAAGGTCACACGGCGCTCCTGTGGCCCAGGCAGGGCTTGGACCCAGCACTCTCACTTAAGGCCCCTGCACCTTCTGAGCCCAGCCGGAGTGGCAGGAAGAAGGACCCCTGTTAATGCCCGGATGCTGCCAGGCTCCGAGCTTTCTTCTCCACGTCCAGGAATGAGTTAGGTCCGGCCCTGCATAGAATCTGCCTGTGTGTTATTAAGGGGCAGCATCTGCCTGGCTTTGAAGTCTCTGGCAGAAGCCGGCCCCTCCCCATCAAGCGGCTGAAGCACGATTATAAAAGGCCTTCAGTGCTCTGTGGGTTTGGCTTCTTAATGAGTAGTTTCTTCCTCTTTTCTCTCTCCCAATACAGTCACCAGCATGTCTTTCTGTATGCAGTTTGGGGTCCTCACAGAGGCATGAAGGCTGCAGGGTCCCTCTCAGGTCTTCCATCTTTGTCCCCACTGGCTGGCTGCTCCAAAGCACCCCCCCAAAAAAAAAGCATTGGTCCTGTCAGGACAGATGGGGCTTGGCCGAGGCAGGGGCTGTCCTCTGACCTCCCACCTAAGCAGCAGATCCCCAGACTTGTGGAGGGGGTCTAGAAGGCACTCACCCTAGGCCACAGGGCCTTCACCTGCAGCAGTGGGTGCAAGTGACCCAGCGGGCCCATGCTCAGGGCCAGCGTGGTGAGGAGTCGGGGGGCCCGCCCCACCTTGCCCGTCCCTCCCTTCGCTGAACTGTGCCTCCCTGAGGTCTCTGCTATCCCTTTGCCTTTTCTTCTTAACTAGTTCTCTCTCTGCCACTGGATCAGGAGCTATTGCTCATCCCCAGGAGATGTGGCCAGCCTTACGGGCAGGAGGGATCGCTTTGCCTGTCCATCTCTCTCCTCCCCAGGTGGCCCCCTCCCCCTCAGGTTGGGAGCTCTCTCCCGGGGCCCTCAGTTCCCCAGTCAGTCCTTCAAGCTTTGGCTGGAGACCTCTTGACGGATGCTGTCCCTGGGTCTAGGCCCCCCGCTCCTGGCAAGCAGCTGGCTCCAGTGAAAGGCCTGGACCCCAGCCCCGGCCAGGCCTGATGAGGGTCTTCTGAGGCCAAGGACGGACACAGCATCCCCAGGACCTCACACACATGCATTCCTGTGCTGTGCAGGCAGAAAAGTGACAGGCATCCAAAAAGGGTAGGAGGCAAAGAGGCAAGGAATTCCAGATCTGTGACATCTTCTCTGGTGCGAGGCAGCCGTCTCCAGTGTCCTGATAAATCACCTTTTATCTCCTTTCCCAAGGGGTGCCTGGCAGAGCTCCATCTTGGTGATGCTTGTAGTCTGCACAGTGTTGCCTGTCTGCAAGGGGGTGGCCAGCTCTCTGACTCCAGGGAAAGCACAGGGAAGAGACTACAGAGGCAGTGGGTCAGCCAGCATCTGCTGTATGCCCAGGCCATGCCGCAGGGAGCATGGGGCAGATAGGAGAAGTGAACCACCAACCATTGGCGAAAGTGGGAGGCTCATCACCCACAGTGGGGTACCTTTGGGGGTTCCGCGGTGTCACCTCAGCAGGGCTGGGGGGCTGCACTGCCATGATGGGCAGGTCATGGGTAGCTGCAGCAGCTACTCCTGTGCCCCACCCAGCTCCTTTCTGTTCTCTTCTGATCCCCAAAGGCTGCTCACAGGAGCACCGTAACCGGAAGTGCCAGAATCAATGGAGGGGCAGTGGCAAGCAGGACACAGGTGATAAGCACCCTGGCTCGCCCCAGCCTCAGCAATCGCTGCCCTAAGGTGTGCTCTGCCTGCTCTCCTGCGGCCCTCACGGGGCTGAGCTCCGGCTGTCCCCAGCGCGGCCGCCGTGGGAGCTGGGAGCTGTCCCTTCTCTGCTCTGCCTTGCCTCCCTCTTCCCTAATGACACTCTCGGGATTGCCTCCTGCAGAAACCAACCGCACACAAATCCATGCTTCTGGGGCTGCTTCTGGCGGGACAGAATCGAGCCCGTGGCCTCTCTTAGGCTTCGCACAGCAGTGGCAGCAGCAACCTGTGTGACATGCGGCCTTGACGCTTGCACACGCACAGCGGAAGTGGTCCTGACAAGGGCCCCTCCAGGGCAAGTGAGAACCGGCTGTCCAACGAGCTTCCACAAATGAGAGAATCTTATGGGTTTTCGCAAATGAGAAGTTCTGGGATGGGCGTTGGGCTCAGGAACAGCTCTGTCCAGCTGCTGAGAAGAGGTCAAGGGTGCTGCCCGCAGCCCTCTCTTGGCCTAGCGCTTGTATCATTCAAGAAACATTTATTTATTTATCTTTATTATAATTTTCTTTTATTTTGAAGAGTAAAAACAAAAGCAAGAAAAACACAGAAACAGGGTAACATACAACACCACATATGTTACAGATTTTCAAAATAAGAATAATTGATTAACAATGATTGATATGTTACCTATTTTTATTGTCAGATCTGTTGCTCAGATTAACAGATATAATTATGCAAGATTGGACGTATAATTGAGATAAGATAGGAAAAAAGGTAGGGGGAAGACATAAATATATATACAAGAAGAATAAGGTGATTTACTAAGGATTTCCATCAGTTTTTTTGAAAATAGCAGTTAATGTGTAGAATTCTCACCTTGACTGACTCTATGCTGATATCAGTGAACTAAGCAACTACATTGAGGACAGCAATGTGTACTACAAAAAACATGCTTGAAATACCTGTCATCTTGGTCTTCTAAATGTGTACCGTTTCTAATGTCATATCAATTATTAAAAAAAGAGACAAGAACAAAAATTTAAGATTTCTTGAAAGCATGTGGTAATAGTCCAATCTTGCGTAAGAAGCACGTATTGATTGCTTACCTTGTGCTGAGCACAATTCCATTGGCTCGTTGTTCCTTCTCGGGCAATAATAAGGTTGGTCACTAGAGGCGCCAGGCTCTCTTCGCCGTTCTTCTCCCGGAAGAGGGAGGCCTCAGGACTGACCCTCGCGGCTCAGGATGAGGGCCTCTGCACATCCCCAGCGATCCCTGCGGCTCTGGCTGTTGGAGCTGTGTGCTTGCTTAACCTTACTGCAGGGGTGTGATTAGCGCTCTGAGGACCCGGAGCATTGAGACTGTAGGAAGAAACCTTTTCCAGCTGGTGGACTGGAACCACAGATGTGGCTCAGGCTTCAGGCGACCAGTCAGCGAAATGCAGCCAGGGCTCACAGAGTGGGCAGCGCACTGTGGGTGTGCCACAGAGGGGAAAGGGACTCCCAGCTCAGCCAGCGCCCAAAGAAAGGAAGGGCGTGCTGTCCCTGGACTTCAGCGGCCCCTGGACGCAGTCGTGTCAGTTGTGTGAGGCCCTGACCATGAAGCAACGTGTTTAGATTTTATATTTAACAGATTGAACAGGACCATGTGTTGGTTTGTTTATCATTATTAAATGTGACCAGCTCAGAAGAGCCTGCTAAAAAGGTCTGAGGGGCTGGCATTCCCTGTGAGGCTTGCCCATGCTGGAGAGAGATGTACCCGCCTGGCTGGCAGCTGTGTACACAGAGCAGCCAGGGAGCAGTCAGGCTGGGACAGCCATAATCCCTTGGCCTGGGCTTGTGCCCGCCCTGGAAATAGCCACCCACCTAGACTAAGAATAGGAATTCCTGCCCAGCTGGCAGAAATGAATGCTGATTTCTCAAGGAAGGATGGGCCTGAAGACAAAACATACCATGTGGGCTGGGCCGCACTTGAAGCGTGAGGTCACTTAAGCGCCACGCCCGTGTCAGGCATCATCCTGCCTTCAGACCCAGGCAAGGTGACTTGGCCAAGCTGTTCACAGAAGCTCAAGATGGCAGCCTCCAGAGAGTGGCCTTGGGCCCTCAGCCTCGGACGCCTCCTGCCCCCCAGTAGAGGTGACTGCTCCTCTCTTGGCTTGGGCATTTTGCTCTGGTTTGTTCTCTGGTTTACTGTGCACAGAGGTAGTAGCAGATAGTGGCCAGCTAAGGGGCTGACACCCAGGAAAGGAGAATGATAGCTTTAGCCAGACTCACCAGCTCACGAGAGTCTCTCTTCCAGGCAAGATCCTCTTCCGGAGAAGCCACATCCGGGATGTAGCTGTGAAGAGGCTGAAGCCCATCGACGAGTACTGCCGGGTGAGTGTTTCTGGGGCGGCGGAGGGGCGCATCTGCTTGAAGTGTGCCTGCCTGCGAAACACCCTCTTGAGGGCTGCTGTGTCCGGGCCAGTAGGGCCCAAGTGCACATCCCTTGGGGAGGTGCCATCCCATGATGGGTCCCTCCCTGAGACACGAGGGCCTTGGGCTCACGGCTGAAGCTCTGCTACTTTCAGGACCTATTCATGTTTACCAAATGTCATTGCAGGTCACTTCTACCAGCTTGGGAGTAAGGCCTGCTGTTAAAGGGATTTTTGTGTGTTTTGCTGGATATAGAACTATTACTATGAATTTCTTTTAGCCCTGTTGGAGTCAATTCTGAGTTCAGTGGCACCTGGAATACGCATTCATTTATTCACATGTCTTGATAGATGCAAATATTTGTATTTGCATATTTATATACGCAAATGATCTGCCTCCAGTTTTCCTTGTCTATCTGCCCCACCCCACATAGAAGTCACAGCACTGTCACAAACCACAGCCCAGGTGTCCTTTTGTTTTGAGGGGTACCTAGGCCCTCTGGTGTGAGTTTGCAAGGCTGCCAGTCTGTGTCCTTGGCCCATGGCCTCAGGCTGGCCATAGTTCCTGGGTTCAAGCCCTGGCCTACTTCGGGAGCTTGGGCACGTTACTTAATTTCCTGGAGCCTCAGTTCTGACGTTGTACAGTGTGGAGGGGAGCAGTCCCTCTGCAGAGGGTGGCCAGGGGCGGGAGGGAACCGACGTATGTCAGGCCTCGTACACTGTCTGTTTCAGAGGAACCATTCATCAAGTGCTTTGGGCTATTATTACAAGGCAAATATTTATATTAATTAAGTAAATAAAAAGGCTTCATTCAAAGCAAATAAAGAGCTGGAGGTGTTTCAGAGGCAGAGCTCTGGCCTACTGCGTTCAAGGCCTAGGTTCAATCCCCACCCCCAAAAGAAATGAAGGAAGGAAGGAAGGAATGAGTGTAAATAAGAACTACCAGGGCAGATAAAGACAAGCAAATGACTAGAAAGGCAATAGTTCAGCGTCACTTCTGTACACTACTGGCTGTACTAGAACTAGTGTCCTGGGTGAACACAGCGTCCTGTGCAGGCTTCCTGGAGGTACTCAGGGAGGGCACGTGCACTGTGCATGGTCAGAGGGCGCCGTTACAATGCAAGAGTTGGAGTGGAATCTCAGGGCCGCACGTCCTAGCCGGGCCCTGGAGCAAGCCTTTACCTCTTGGAACCTGGCTTCCTCATCTGGAGAGGGGGGATAGAGATGGTGATCTTGGGGGGCTACGGGGGAGACTTTGTGCCCCTGAGATGCTTTGCCCTGACATATGTCTGTTAACTCTTAAAGTCCCTTTCTACTCTAATAGTTTATAATACTGAACCATTATGCTTAGCAATAAAAATATTTAAACTAACCTGCTGAACGCATCCACTGACATCTGCCAGCCTCCACGAGCCAGGCACTCCTACTCACTGGCTGCAAGCAGAAGGGTGACTTACTCCTGACAGGTTCTTCCTCATCCCTGGTTCCTGGTGGTGACTCCCCTGAGCTGTCCATCCCTCTTTGTCAGATCAGTGTCATTTTTCTCTATAAAGGACATTCACTGCTTCTAGTTAAATCCATGGCTGAGGCCTAAGCTGCGATTTCTCTTTGTTCCTTTCCCAAGGAGTTAGACAAGTGAGCAAAGCTAATGGAGGAGGGGCAAAGGCCGGAGGAAGCCTTTTTCCCAGGCCCTCCAGCTGGGAGTTATAGCTGCACTCAGCCTTGGCCTCCTAGAGCTTGGGAGCCCGAGGCGCCTGCACTCGGGCGGGCTCCGGGATCAGAGGCAGAGGAAGCTGATAGCACCTTATCTCAGGGATCAGCCTTTGACCAGGGCTCCTGGTGGCTCTGGGGCTCTAGGCATTGCTGGTGGCCAGGGGAGCTGGTTCTGTGTGGTCTGCAGGCAGAGGGGCCTCCTAATGTGATCAGCACAGATGGGAGCTGCCCAGAGCCTGGCCGCTTTGCCACGCGCAGGCCATCTCTCTCACAGGCAGGAATTTACCCAGAGAATGTCTGGAGGTGGAGTGGGCCGTGCAGACTGACCTTCAGTTCTGCTGAACTGAAGAACTAGATCTGTGGTCTGATTGTCCAACACCCTGCTGACCTGGCAGTGAGGGGTGGGTGTGCTAGCAGTTGTCAGGGCCATTGCTGCCCTGTGTCTTACGGTTCGATGGTTCAGTGACCGGTCAGCCGCATGGGCATAGAGCACCATCGCCGCCACGGCCAGCTTCACCACCCGCGCCCCATGCACCCTTCCACGGCTTGCTCCCCTTGTCCGTCTCTGTCCTTGGCTATTCCCTGGCCAGAACTTCTGGAGTCCTCCTTTGCTGTCCCCCGCATGTCCAGCTCTGCTTAGGATAGTACTGCTAGGTGGTACTGACTCAGTCTAGGGTGGAGTGGAGGTCAGCTTCACCCAGTCATGAGGCTGCTTGCATATAGTGTCCACATGTGGGAAGTCCGGCCACGCAGTGGATGACCCCAGATGGTGGGCAGCTGCCCACACCGGTCAGGCAGTCCCCCACCTAATGTTGGCTTTTCATCTGAATTACCTAGGCTGATTGTAAATATATACAGAATGGATTGGATCAGTGTCATGGAAGACTCAGCAGGCTCCCTCCAGGCAGTTGTCTCATGTGGCACTTGAGCCCAAGTGTCTACCAAAAAGGGTTACAAAGGCATTTCTTTTTAGTTCTGTAGATTAGTTTAATGGGCAGTGTGGTTGCTGTTTAATAGTTCCCAACAAGTCCAAGACTTTCAGACTAACGGTTTTACATGTGACTCCCTTTCCCCCGTTCCTGTGGGTAGTGCGCATGTTTGCAGTTTTTCCTGCGGATAAAATAAGTTATCGCGTGGCAGGGGCCAGGCGGCTCATCCTGTGTGCTGGGACAGCTGTACTGGGCCTCACTTCCCAGTGACTTCTCTGCTGCTCTACAAGCTGGCTTGGCTAGTCTTCTGCCTGCGACACATTAGCTTTTAGGGATGAGGGGCTGGGTGCACTCAGAGGGGGGCAGCAGCCCGCGCCCACCAAGAGGTCAGCACCAGGGGGCTGGGGTCTCCTGCCCCTTCGCCCCAGGTTCACACCCTTTTAGCCCTACTTGCCAGATTCCAAACTGAGGCTGTTACACAATGGGGAATCCTAGCCCTGATACTCATGTCCAATGGGATTTTCTCAGGCCATGACTGGTCCTCTCAGGGAGGGTGACCTTGCTCTTGTGGCCCTTGTTCTGAGGGTGGCTGGGGCCAGGAGTGTGGCTAATGGGGGAAACTGAGGCACAGGATGTCTGCTTGTTCCTGTCTCTTGAATGCTCTTGTCATCCCCAAGCCTGATTAGTAGAATGGCTCCACCTTCCTGGCAGATCCAGGAAGGGCACTGCCAGCCCAGGACTGTGGGTCACACTGCTGCTCTGAGGCTCTCGCAGGAGGCCCTGTGATCCAAGCCAGGCCCACCATGGGCTCTCTCCGGTCTCTGGAGTCCAGCTCGCAGGCCTCCAGCCCTGGCCTACACTAGTCCCTCCAGCTAGGGACACGCTGGCTTGCACAGTTGCTCTTTGTTTTATGTTTTTTGTTTATTTTGGCGGAACCTGGGATTGAACTCAGGCCCTTGCACCTGCCAGGGAAGTGCTTATTCTACTGAGCCATCTCTCCAGCCCTCACAGTTGCTCTTTGGACAAGCCCCGTGGCTCCTAGGGAGGCTGACGCCTTGCTCTCCCCGACCGGAGGGCTCCCTCCGGCCTCCACCTTCCTGGCTTGGCATGGCAGTGATGTCTCTGGTACTGACTCTTCTCCCATCCGTTAGCAAGCTGGCCCGAATGGTGTCACCAGCATCTGCCAACATGCGTGGTCACTGCTGAGGCGCCTCCTCAGGGGTGATCTCAATGCTCCCCGAAGTCTCCTGAGGGGTGATTTGATCCTGAGGACACTAACCTCATCCACGGATCAGTCCATTCGTGCTGAATGAGCTGTGAGAGGTGAGGCCCGTGGAGGAAGGTCTCTGGTGGGGGTGGGGGACCACTCTGGAGGTACAGCAGGTCTCTGCCCTGTCCTCTTTCCTTGGGTCTTTCCGACCCTCCTCGCTGCCTTGTGATCAGCAACTTTGCTCTGCAGCTCTTTGGGAGGCTGAAACAGGAGAATACTGTTTGAGCCAAGCCTAGACAACTTAATGAGACCCTATCTCAAGATAAAAAGGGCTGGGGCCGGGCTCAGTACATGGCGCTGGGTGCAATCCCCAGTGTAGCAAAAGACACCATATAAAATTGCGTTCTCAGAGGAAGTTCGAGACCCCAACTTTCCAGGTGGTGATCCAGGAAGGACAGCTAGGACAGGGTTTGGGGTGGGGACACAGCAGGAGGCCCTTCACCCCACAGCTGGGCTTTTCACTGTAAGGTTTCCATCAAATAGCACCAGCACTGCTATAAGAGGGTGACATTCGCTGTCATAGAGAAGAATATCTCACGGTGGAGACTCTGCCTTTGCCCTGGACCCAGTGTCTCCTGGAGTACAAGACCTCGTGGGGGTGGGGGGACCAGAGTGGCTTAGCCCTGCCATTGTGTCTGAGGGGAGGGCTCAGAGACATGCCCGCAGCCACCTGCTTCCTTTCCTAGGAGTACCATCTTCATCGAGGATGCCGCTGCCGAGAAGACAGTTTGTTTGGTTTTTTTTTAAACCATTTGTTAGCATTTTAATGAGTCCCTTGTCCAGTGACTTCAAGCTACCAGGACATCCCCCCCAACACCCCTAATCTTCCCCTCAGCTCTGCTGCTGAAGAATTTGGCCTTCTCGATGACAGGCTGCTTTGGGAGCTTCCCTTCCCAAGAACTCTGCAGTAGCCCGATCGCACTACATCGCTGATGGGAGCTGCTCCAGTCTGGTTTTTGGCAGCATTTCCTCGTGTCTGCTCACTGACCAGTGTCCACAATTCGTCAAGGTGGGCAGTTGGGCAGAAGCTCTGGGTTCTCTTCAAGAGGCAATGCCTCACACCAGCCTTCCCAAAGTCACCTGGGTGGCATTTGTTGAAGTCGAGCCTGTGGTGACGCATGCTACCAGCATTCCCCCGGCCTCCAGTGCTTGCCGATGCGGCCATGGCCGTGGCTCACGTGGCCCGAAGCTTCCGGGTCTTCCTTAGTCTGGAGGCCATGTGGGCGGCAGAGGTGAAAGGAGAAGACAGTCTTGAGGGGCAGGAGCTTGAGGGGTGGCTTAGGCCTGGCAGAGGGGGGCCATTGGCAGATGCCAAACCCAGAGAACAATCAGCGCTTCTCCGCAGCCCTCTCACCCAGGCACCCACCAGCCGAGGCCCATGTCTGCACACCTCCTCTTGCCCACCTCACTCAGCGTGGCAGCGCCAGGGCCTTAGGTCAGGCAGGGACACGAGGTCATGCTCCTCCCAACCCTTCCCACCCCTGGGGCCAGAGGAACCCCCAACCTCTGAGCCGGAGCCCTCTCGGGAGTAGACTCAGTAGGTTGACTGATAGAGCAAAGAAAGGGACACACCCAGTGGTGCTGTCTGCACTTGAGCTGGGAGGTCCCCCAGAATGTCTCTGCCCTGAGTGTACCCCACTGTACTCCTCGAGATGTCACCCCAGTCACACACTGTGCACAGTGTTGAAGGCCACAGCCAACAGAGGTTCAGAGAGTCGGAGTCTGGACTCAGACACCAGGTGCAAATGTTTTCTGTTTCTTGGCTGTGCTGCCTTGGGGGGATCACTTATGCCCTCTGCACTGTAGCTCCTCCCACAAGACATCGCCGTTATGCTCGCTCTTAGAGTCAGAGAGATGGTTATGGGGCGGTCCCCCAGCATGCCTTATTAGTAGTGAATGCAGCCTAGACTAGGTCCCTGCAGGACTTCTCGGCGGCTTTGATGTGCTGATGAACATGGTGATCCCCACGGCCAGAACAGGGGACCTTCAAGGCACCTGCCACAAGTGTCTGTGTGATTCAGTCCCCCAACTCTTCTTTTTTGAGACAAGTTCTCACTGAGTCACTAAGTTCCCTGGACTGAGCTTGAACTTGCAGTCCTCCTGTGTCAGCCTCCTTTCGTACTGTGAATTTCAGGCGTGGGGTCTCCCAACTCCACTTCCAGGGCTCTTTCTGCTGTGCGTTGCTGCTTTTACCCAAATAACAATGACAGAGGTGGCAGTAACATTAGAGAAGGTAACGGTGTTTACTTAGCGCCAGGCACAGAATTGAGCCCTCCCACCTAACACCTTAGAGGTGACAGGGGTAGTGCTGAAGCCTCACACGGAGCGGAGCAGGCATGCTGCTTCTGCACCGTGCAGCCGGGCACCACAGAGCAGACTCAAGCCTGAGTGCCTGGTTTCGACCAGCCACTAGAGTGCGTGGCACCCCTGAGCCCAAGGAGCTCCCTGGAGATACCACTGCCGACGCCCACCTTGCTCTTCCAGAAGAGGTGGCTTGGAGGGTTCCCACTTCTGGCTGTCATTGCTGGCGCAGCCCCAGGGCAGACTGCTCCCACCAGCCTCTCCTGCCAGACTGGGCCACGAGTGGCCTTTGGCGGCAGCTCTAAGGACAGCTGCTGCAGGCTGAGAGCCTCTTGTCCTCCAGACTGCTGCCTGTGGGCCCCCTGTTAGCTGAAGATGCCATGGCCAGTCCCCAAAAACCCTCTTTGTCTGAGGTGCTCATAGCCCACACATCCCCTGCCCCGAGCTCTGTCGGCATGAAGAGCGCCTCTGTTGGGCTGTGTCTAGCAGGAGGCGGCGACAGTGGAAAGGGCTTGGGCACTCTGTGGAGCCTGTTCTCCCCTGCCCTGTCCTCCCTCTGCCTCTGGAGAGGTCGACCTCGCAGACAGTGGGGATGGCTTCCCAGCTGCCCCAGTGCCTTTGGGACTGCCTGCCCTCCCTGCAGCACTCGCCTGCCTGCCTTCTCCCATTCTGTCCTCTCTGTCTCCATGCCATCTGTCACCCTGTTTTTCCTCTTCTGCTCCTCTACCTGCAGGAGGAAAGAGGAGGTCAGTGACATCCTGGCCCCTCAGGGTAAGCCAGCATCCCCATTCCCAGCATGGGGCCTGGATCCCGTCAGCCCCGCCCCCACCCCACTTTAGCGTCCTCATGGTAGGTGGAGGCAGAGGCCTCAGTCTCCAGGACAAACTGCAGTGATGCAGCAGGGCAGAGCTGTGTCCTCCTCACCTAACAGCGAGGCGTGGTCCCCTGCCTTGCACCCGAGAAGCTCCACTATCGGCAGGTGGCCGGAGCCCAGGACGGCCCTTTCCTGGTCTCTTTTCTGGCTGTGGGCAGGACGATATGTCGGGACTCCCAGGCCCCCAGGGCTCTGGCAGCAGGAGCTGGGAGCTGCAGGTGCCCTCCTATCTGCAGAGGCCAGGCTGTCTCTTCTTGGCGGTTTCACCTAGGTGTAGATGTGGCGTCCAGAAGGGCCTCCTGTGGAAGCCTGGTGCTGGGTGCCAGACTGGCCCAGGGAATTAAACCCAGTTCTGCCTTCCTTGTCTAATTCTCTCAATGCTACCTGAGACCACGTGCACTTAACTATTTATTTGCCTCATTTTAATGTCCTGCTGTGCTTGGAAACTGGGCTTCTAGACACCAAGATCCTATTCACTTCTTCATTTATTTGTGTTTCATTCTTTCATTCATTCCTTTTTCCAGGCCTGGAGGTTTACACTGGGCTATATCCCCAGCCCCCTTTTATTTTTTGAGGCAGGGTCTCTGAGTTCCTAAGAAAACTTTCACTCCTCCTGCCTCAGCTTTCAGGTGCTGGGATTACAGGTGCACACCATCACGCCTGGCTCATTCACTTATTAAACAACATTGGGTGCCTGTTCAGTGTCAGGCGCTCTGCTGGGACCTGGGCACAATCAGAAGAACAGACTGAAGCCCATGCTTGTGTGGAGCTCACGTGTCTGTCCTCTTTCCTCACTCTGTGGAGGCCTCTGTTTCCTTGCCTGCAGTCTGGAGATGGGGCCATCCCGAGGAGCCAGTCTTCCAGCTGCATTCTGTCCCAGCTTACTGCCTTGTCCCTGCTGCAGCCTGGGATTCCCTTGTGCCAGTCCCTCTGGCCTGCTCTGGCTGTGGTCCCTCCTTGTCCCAGCATCCTCTCCTGTGCTGAAATATAGGAGGATCCAGGACCTGGCTCAGCTTCATCCTCACCTCTAGCCCCTCTTTGGGAGTGGCCAGGCCAGGGCTGCCGTGCACCCTGCTGCCAGGCAGCATGGCGTGACAGTCATCTCCTCCAGCCCTCTCTGCCAGCACAGCCTCCCTCCCTGCACGACAGGCTACTCTGCCCGTGACGCCACTGCTGTCCTCTCTGCTCGCACAAAGCTGCACACTGCTGGGGAGCTTGTGCCTGCTCCGCTGTGTGCTGGGCTGCTCTTCCTGTGACCTCCTCCGAGGGCCAGAGAGGTGGCCCAGGTCTGGCCCGTGCTCACCTCCCTTCTCTTGGAGCTTGTCCCCCATGACCTTCACCTGGTTCCTGCCCGCCTCCCCCAGAGAGCTCAGCTTCAAAGCTTTCTTTACTAAACACCCGCCTCATCTTCATGGGTCCTACGTGGCTCGTCAGCTGTCATAGCACTCTGTAGTCCTTTCTGGCCATGATTGACTTGTCATTACATAATCGGTTATACAGCCAGGGTCTTGCGACTGTGACGCTGGTGCACTGGAGGGGGGCTCATGGCAGGTGGTAGGAGGAGCCTCGCACCGTTAGGTTGGGATCTTAATGGACTCACTCTCTGTGGTGTGAGGGGTCCCCCCAGGGTTCTTGTAGAAAGGCCAAGCCCAGTCCTGAGGGCCCTGAGACAATCGATTTTTCTTAGTTGGCTGTTGTGTTCGCTGATTTGCTGATAGAAAGGGTTGGCAGAACTATTGGCTGGGTGGCTAATTGATTTTTTTTTTTAGCTCTTTTGTTGGTTTATTAATTAATTGGGTGGTTGATTGTTTCCTTAGTTGAGATGGATGCATGGCGTAATTGCCTCATTAGCTGGCTGGCTAATTCACCGATGAGTTGTCGCTGGGTGGAGGATGTTTGGTTGACTGTCCTCCTGGCACAGTCCTTGAACCTGCCATCACCCCAGGCCAGGACGACTGGGTTTTCCTGGTCTCCCATTTGTCACGCCTAACGTCTTTTCCTCCTACCTTTCCTCAGGCACTTGTCCGACTACCTCCTCACATCTCACAATGTGATGAAGTCTTTCGGTTCTTTGAGGCCCGACCCGAGGATGTCAACCCCCCAAAAGAGTGAGTAGCAGCTCAGGCCTTCCTATGTGCTGAGAAGCTGTGGGCCGCAACAGAGGCCAGCCAGGGAAGGGGCGCTGACGGAGGAGCAGGCTGTGCGTTGGTCCCTGTGGCCCATCTCCACTCTGCGCCAGTGACCAGGCCGGCCAGTGACCAGCGCCCGTGGGCTGGCCTTGTCCAGGCCTCTGGTGGGGCCCAACTGGGGGAGCCTACACAGCGGCCCCACGGTTGTGTGAGTCCTTGGGACGGTGGAACATGGCTTCTCGTTTAAAGCCCTGGGGTCTTTGGGGCTTGTTTTGTTTTCTTTTTGAGACAGGGTCTTGCTATGTAGAGCAGACTGACCTTGAACTTGGATGCAGCCCCGTTTGGCCTCAAACGTGAATTCCTCTTGCTTCAGCCTCCCCAGGACAGGGTGGCGCGTGTGCAACCACGCTTGCCTGGGCTCTGTGACCTTTGGCCATTTCCTCCACTCTCTGCATCTTTGTTTCCCCAACTCTAAAGTGAGACAGTGCTTAGCACATGGCTGGCAAGAGGGCTCGGAGATGACCCAGTCGGGTCTGCTGGTGCATGGTCAGTACGTGTCTGGGGAAGGCTGGGGGACAGGGTGGACGGTTGCGTAGTCGTCGCGTGGAGCACAGCCTGGCCCTGGCAGTGATGGGTTGGAAGGATCTGGTCCCCAATCATCAGGCCAACAGAGGCTCACTGCCTCTTTCCGGGGTGGGTGTGGCTGCCTGGGCCAGTCCACCACTAGTCTGGGAAGCAGGGGCCTGAGAAAAGAAAGACCTCTAGGAGGCCCAGGAGGCTGCGGGCAGTTTCAGGATGGCTTCTCCTTGTTGCCTGGCTCTGGCATTGTCCCCGCTGCCCCTGAGACCTGCCCACAGGGGTGGGGCTCCAGTTCAGGGTGTGCTTGCTCCCTGGGGAGAGCCAGGCCCTGCCTGCGACCTGGGCCTGCAGGCAGCCTGTGCATGATCCAAGGGCCTGCCCCGGGGTCTTAGCTACTCTTCTTGCTGCTGAGACATAATATCCAACCCAAAGTTGGAGGGGAAAGGGCTTACTGAGCTCACAGTTCGTAGAGGTTTCAGTCCTTAACTGGCTGGCTCCAAGGCAGAGGGCATCACAGAGGAGAGACGGTTCTCAGCAGGCAGGGGGTAGTAAAGCAAGCAAGGGACGACCACAGCTCCTTCCACCCCTCATATCTTATCCAGGCTGCTCGGGGTGGGCAGCACTCACACCCTAATCCTAGGGCCCTCGGTCCTGGCACCGCACCATGGGTCAGTCCAGATCCACACATATATGGCCACGCGAGGCTTTGGGGACATTTTTCAACACAAACCGTTAACTCCCGCGGCGGCTGTAGGGCCGTGTACTCTCTCCCACCCTCTGCCCTGAAATGTAAACACAGATCAGGTAACGGCACATTTTGACTCTGGGGCATCAGCGAGTGGTTTATCAAGTTATCAAAGCCTCTAGACTTAATTGAAATTTTGCAGATAACCCCCAGCCTCTTTCAAGTGGGCTGCTGCAGGGTCCCTAGAGAACTGTGGGGCAGGGCAGGAGGCTGCCTTCCTCGTCCCTCCTACAGAGAAGACCGGGCCTGTGACCACTCAGCCTTGGAGGGAGCAGGTGGGCAACAGCTCTCCTGGACCCCGCTGGAAGGCCAGCCATCTGCCCGGCTCGTAGATGCTCCTGGAGACGCCAGCCCTGCACTGAAAAGGCGCCCCTCCAGGCACCCCTCCCGGCACTGGATGGGTCCAGCCAGGGTGGCCCCCAAAAGGCTGCTCAGGCCCGCCTCCCTCCTGTGGCCATGAGCGCTGACCCCACACACTGCGGCCCAGTGCACGGCGGTACTGCTCTTCTGGGCCCGAGCATTCTCATACCATGAGTGCTCTGCTTCATGGCTTCTACCCAAGCCTGCAGCAGACCCTGTGGGCGCTTCCCTTGCCATATGTGCACACTCCACCCCACCACAGCTTCAGGTCTATCTCCCCAGTTCTCCCGGCCTCACTGTGATGAGATCAGGTGGTCCTGGCCTCTGAGCTCAGAGCCTGCCCTTCCCTCTGAGCCAGCTCCCGCCCTCCAGCCAAATCCACTAGCCACACAGTAGGTGTTGGGCCTTTGCCCTGTCCCTTCTGGGTCTGGCATTCCGAGCCCCTGGGGGAGCCCTTGCATGGCCCCATGTCCCCTTCCAGACTTTGCTCAGTAGCTTCTCTGAGGTCGGCCCAGCTCTCCTGCTGCAAATCCCCCAGCCCTGGCGCTGGCTTCCTGTTTCTTACAGTGTACCCTCCCTCACGTCTGGCGGGTGTCATCCCTAAGTGAGCACTCTGGAGTCTGATGCCAGTGTAGCAGCATCAGAGGTGGGCCTGCAGGAGAGGGTAGAGTTGTGAGGGCTCCACCCTTGCACGTGGGATTAGTGTCCTCATACAAAGGTCTCCACCCCGCAACATGGGAGGCCGAGGCAGGGAGATGGCGGGTCCCAGCCCTGCCTGGCTAACTTAGTGGGGTTATCTTTAAATAATAAGTGCAAAGGCCCAGAGCTGCAGCCCAGCAGTCGATTCCATCCCAAGCACCACAGACAAGCAAAGAGGCTCGAGTGACCCTGGCCTTTCTTCTGTGAGGACACGGCCAGAGTGTGCCCCTCCCAGAAGCAGGCTGAGGCTGACGTGAAATCCAGCACCTGTCACTAATAGATGTGCTGGTGAAAGGCATTTTCCTAGCCGCCTGAGCCGGTGACGCTGGCTCCATGTGCTGCTCCTTCCCGCTGGAAGACCAGCAGGCCCAGGGGAGCAGGCTGGGGACCTTCCTGCTCACGGCTGTGTCCCTGGCACTCAGGGTAGGGCCTGGCCCAGAGCAGGTCCCGGGTGGGGCTGGGGAGCAGCTTCTGCTGACTGAGCAGCACAGTTTTACCAAGGAAGGCCGGGCTCAGAGACAGGAGGTGCTTCCCTGAAGTCACCCAGCTGGCCAGGAGCAGGCAGGCCAGCTCTAGGCCAAGGCTTGTAGCCACCGCCTGGGCCCCTCCAGTCTCGCAGCTCGGCTCACCTGTGGTTTTGCAGCCTTCTCGCTGAGCACCCCCAGCAGGGCAAGTGGGAGAACACGCCCCTCCCCAGCCTGGGGCCCAGGAGGCTGAGATCAAGCCCCTGGCGGGTTCAGAGTGTGGCCAGCGCCCTGCACCACAGAAGACCGTCTCTGCAGGCACCTTCTGTGGGTAGGGTCTGGGGTCTCCTTTATCACACGCGCACCCCACCCATAGTGTTCCACCCTCACAGCTGATCACCTCCAAGCCCCCAGCCCCATGCACCACACCGGGCGTCAGGAGTCCCAGAATTTGAGGGAGAAACACAGACACTGTTGGTAGAAGCTTCCTTATCTGGAGGGTGGGAATTTAATCCTGATTAAATTCTTGAAATTGCAAAGGAGGAGCCCTGCCAAGCTGATTTTTGTTCTTCAGCCCCAGAGCCACAGAGTCACCCTCTGCTGTGACCTAGATGCCCCAGTGTCCAAGGCGACCTGGGGCAAGAAGCATGTGGCCCCCAGCCAGATCTAACCCATCCTTGTCCAAGCCTGTGCAGGGGGCTCGAGCATTCTGGGAAAGCCCCTGTCCCAGTGCTCTCAACATCTGTGCCATCTGTGCTTGGGATACAGGGACAGGCAAAAGGGCAGGCTGGCCTAGGAAAAGGAGGCCAGAGGCAGCCAGAGCAGTAGAGGTGGCCAAGAGCAGATGTGGAGGGCAGGGCGGGCTCCCTAGGAGGAGTCCAGGCAGGCAGCTGCCGGGGACCGGAGTGGGGATGAGGGTAGCCCAGGAACCTCACAGTCTCAGGAAATCTCCACCCACATCCACTTACACTGGGGAAGGAGGTTTGTCCTCAACCAGCTGGTAAAATGGGGGGCCTGGCAGGGAAGGGGCAGTTCTTGGCTTTCTTGTTGGGAGAGCAGTCAGCAGGAGAGAAGGCGCTGTCTCTCGTTCCTCAGCCCAGCAGGAGAACAGCATGAGAAGGGGCAGCACTGAGAATCTGGAGTGCTACAGCACCCCACGTGCGCAGCAGACACGGGGCTGGCCTACACAGAAGGCATGTTGGCTAGAGTCCAGGTGGCTTAGGGACCAGGGAGACCTTGGGTTGGTGAAGTGGTCTTTCTTTCCCTGTAAGCCCCAGTCATAGCTGGGAGCTGATAAAGGTAGCGGGAAGTGACAGGAGATGTGTGTGGAGCCAGAGCAGGTAGTGAATCACACTGCCCGCCTCTTCCCTTCCTCTGCCTTGGTAGGAGGCACGTGGAAGGGTGTGGGAGGCCTGGGAAACTGGGTCTCCACGGGGCCTGGCTTCCCTGGGCGGCATTCACGGCGCTCCTACCGCTCCTACCACGAGCCAGGGCTTGACACTCGAGAATGCCAGCAGGCTGAAACCTTGAGCTGCATTTGTTACCTAAAGGGACCGCAGACACGCCCAGCTCCTGTGGCCCTGAGGGCTGGACTCCTCTGTGCCCCTGGCCCCACCTGTCCCCATGCTGGCAGTCCTGCCTGGCAGACGGTGGGGTGCGTGGGAGCTCTGCAGGGCCTGCAGGACACTCAGCCGGACCTGCACCTCCTTCCTCTCTTCCCCCACCCCCTCCCCAGGGCTGAGGAGCAGCAGTGACTGAGCTGACGCTGGCACCTGGGGCGGGACGTGCAGGGCTATGCAGGGGTGAGGCTGCCCTTCTGGCTCTGCTCCTAGACATCACCGGATCCCCAAATCCAGGCACCAGGGGCTCAGGAGTGAAGTAGAGAGTTAGATCTCGCTGTCCACACCTCTGTGCCCAGCCACCTGGCTGGACATGGGGCCCCACTGTCCCCACCACTGCTCCCATGGCTGCTGCACACACAGCCTCTTTGTGCTGATGAGGAAGAGACAGCTGGCTGGACAGGGGGCTGCGGGCTGAGGGAGCTGGGCAGGAGGGGGCTTCTCCCTCCTGGCCATGGACCCTTCAGCCTGGGCGGGCAAGAAGCAGGGCGATGTCCACAGGAGATGGTGCCA